CCCCGCCGTGCCCTCAATCGAGAGAGCCACACAGAGTCCCTCTTACCGAGCCTTCAGCCTTGCTGCGGAGCCGTTCGAGAGCAGTTCAGCCCACCTCGAAGGGCCTGGCTCGTCGCCTCGAATTCCGGAGAGCTTTGCTCTCTCGCGTCAAGCTCTTGCTCCTCCACACCTGTCCCTCGAGGATCGCCAATCGATCTTGTCGCGCGTTGTTGGTCACGTCGGCGTCTTGTCAAAGGTATTTGAGCTAGGGACCTTCCGTCCGTACCAGGGAACCGAAGAACAGCTTCCATGGGCGCTGATCGAAGAGACCTTCAGCAACACGAGAGCCCGCTTGCGCAAGGCCAAGCCCGGTATCTTTGTAATTCCGGAAAAATTCAACCCCGGACGACCCTATATCACTGCAGGAGACGGAGGGGCTAGGATGTTGATGCAACGCCCGGCGCTATGGCAGCTGTTCGTTTGGCGCACTTTCGAGAAGGAAGGCAGCCCCGGCACTTACTTTCAATACATCGGCGCGATTGATCGAAGTGCTACCCCCTCGAGTCCCGCTAGAAAGCTGCCAGGCTTCGAAATTGGTCGCGTGGTGATGGACAGAGGCCAGGATTGGATCTACGTCCCGTATAAGGTCGCACCTCAATAGGCACCATGCTCTCCAACTTCACTTCGGCAGTCCGATCACTGACCACCTGCTGAAATACAACGCTTGCCAATCTTTTCTACTCACCCTCTGTGCCTTAAGGATCGAGTCTGAGAAGCTGAATCCGAGGTGGGAAAGCTTGCCCGCCAGCCATGCTTTGCACAAACGCTCCCTAGCTTTGCATATGGAGCACCGAGCACTGCTGAAAATATTTACAGCGGAAGAGTTTGGTTTCAAGCAAACAGTCTGTCTGAAGGGGGAAGAACGACATTTTCGGGGACATCACCGCTCACCGCGGCCCTGAAATGACCGTCAGCTGGGACGCGCGATGCTTCGGCATCGTTTGGACTGCCCACATCTTTCAATGAAGTCATGCACTGCCATGCAACGCAATTTCGCCTCTCAATCAGCCACAGGATGAGCGGGATGAGGTCCTGCCTCGCACCCACAGCCTGTGCACAGCAATTTGCTTCTCGCCCACCTTGTGAACGCCGATCAGATGGACGCCATAGGGTAAGCAAGAGATTGAGACCTGTGGCAGAGTTGCGTCGAGGCTATCCAGCTACCTTCTTCCATCCCTTTCTCTCGTTATCTCAAGGTCTGCAGACAGTATTGCGCTGGTCGCACGGTCGGGATCTCTTTACATTCTTTTCTGTCTTCGCTCCTCCTCCGGTGAAGCTCCTGTCGCGAGGGTTACACTTTTTCCAGTAAGAGCGGATCTTTGCGGCTTCTTCGGTTACTGGTATCACAATGAGAAAGTTTTCGTTCAAGTCAGAGCCTCGATCGAGGCACTACAAGAGACAGGACGAGGAGGGCGACCAAAAACACCACAAGAAGAAACACGGAAAGCATCCAAAAGCTAACAAAGACGATGGCACAAAGGACAAAGGTTCGAGTCAGAGCGGCGACGCACGAGATCCCTCCGCGCAGTCGCCGAACGCATCATCTACGGCAAAGGCAGCTCTGCCCGCCTCAGCAGAAGCGTCTGTACCTCCGTCACCGCCAACACAGGGGGAGTCAGCTTCATTGGCCGGCTCGTCCGCGCCGACAAACGGAGACGGTCAGCGTACCAGCCTGCCTGCACCTGCCGTGGACAACGACGTGCGTTCTGCCCAGGCATCACCAGCTGGGACGGGATTCAGCGTTGAAGTGCTGTCCGCGGCAATTTCGGGTGGAGTCGTTCTTCTGCTCGTGCTGCTCGGAGTGATCGTTCTATGGCGCAAACGTCGTAGGAATGCAGTCCAGAAAGCTGGTTCTGCCCCGGACCTTCGCCTCAAAATCGGTCCTCCCGAAATACCAGGCGAAAAGTCTGTGAACGACACAGCCCACGCGATGGACAGAGGAACAAAACAACCGTCACAGACGAGTCTACAGCACGGTCATGTCAGCCTTCGAATGGCCCACGCTCAGCAGAGTGATCACACCTTGGTCGATGGCGAACGGAGCAAGTGGCCTGCTTGCGATGACACAGCTGCGCAGCTTCGACGTTCCGATTCCTGCCGTTCGGAGCTTCAGCAGGAGTCGCTATCTGGTAGGCCAGAGCTGCTGCCAGAGAACGGCTGGGACAACATTAGGGCAGCAAGTCCGTATGACGGCGACGACAAAGAGATTGATCGGTGCCTTAGCTACTACATGAAGCGTAGCACGCGCGTCTCGCTACCTCCTGTGGAACTGGTCGAGGGAGGAGAGCCATCGATGCTCGAGGACAAGACGAGCTCGCTGCCGCCGTCTCCGGTTGTGAATCGCATGTCGACACGCAAAAGCTTTGTCTTTCCCAAGACGGCCGGTCTGCTGGCTAAGATTCGAAAATCACAGATCCGACTCAACAACGAGGCGCTGGCGACCGGGAGCCACAACGACCATCCGCTCCCAGTTACTGGCTTCAATCTCGATCACGGCACTGGATCGACTGGGTTGATGTCGAGCACTATGCCGGACTCGGGTGCGCCAACGCGAGGGAGCGAGGAGCACGGGAGTACGTTAGAGTCGCTCAGCCTTGGGCGCGCTGGTCCCGACATCCCCTCGCATTGGCGCTCGAGTACGAGGCTTCGTCGATCGTTCGCAGGGGACAGAGACGGCAATGCTGCGATAGACTCTTCTCCTAGCCTCAGCGAACCACACCCAGCTTTCGAGTACAATGACTCCTACGAGAACCACACCCCTGCAGCTCATGGGTCGCCTTGGCTGGGGGTAGGTGATGGTTACGACTGCTACTCGGCGACATGGCAGGACCGTTCGCCTTGTCGATCATCGGCACTGTCGCCGCGACGCTCGATGACAAGTACGGTGCGGCAGCGCAGTGCAACGTTCAGCCAGTGTGCTCCGTCTAGGTCGCCTCTTTTTCAGGAAAATGACGCCGACGGAGCTCACGCCGCTTCACCCATAAGCGCTCGTCATCTGTCACAAGAGGCCAACGATGTCATCCGATTTTAGCGCTCGTGCCTCCTTTCGCTTTGCCATCTGAAGAAGTTTAATTCCTTGCTCCTCGTCAATCGGCGCCGAAGATAGGCATGAAATAGACACGATCTTTACCGCCGCAGATGCGTGCAGAGTGCATCAAGTTCGCCGATGGCGTTTCTCTGACCGTGATGCCTTGCTGCCCATCGATGTGGGAAGGAACGCAAAAGCGAGTGGGAGCTGGACGCCAATACTGCTGCAGGGGCGTCCGTGCTGCGAGCGCTCGCGCCGTGTGTGCATGCGGTGGCGGCAGACGGAGCGCATCAAGAAATGAAGAAAAGACGGACCGTCAGCTTTGTGTGTTCGTTCCCGCATGAGGCTTGGCCGATTCATTCCGCAGGCTCCCACCTTGCTCGGTCGGAGCGACCTCGACGCATTTTTGTTCGGTCCCTCTGGCGTGCGAGATTGAATGCATGAGTTTGTCTTCGGAAGTGACAGACGATCGCTGGCGCGGAAGAAGAAAGGCAATGTTTGACTTGGGCCATCATCTTGTCCACGCCGCGCTCCGACCGGGTCTCTTTCACCTTCCACCTTTGCCGCTCATTTACTTTTCGCCTTGTCCTCATCAATCTTCGACGGACTGAGGTGAAAAATGGCAGGACTTAGCGCGTTCGATGCCCTTACGGGGATGAAGAGCCAAGAAGTGGAGACGGATGGCAAGGTGGAGATGTTCCCCTCGTCGGCCGTGGCGCAGTCGCACGCTCCCGGCTCTGATGCCAACATCGGAACGCTTCAGCAACCTCCTGCCCACCATCACCAGAGGACATCGTCGTGCTATCAGCCACCCTTCGACCTCTCTGGAACGAAAGCGGACGGAGCAGACTCCAGTGTTCAGGCAGCCGACTCAGCCGACCAGCATCAGAAAGATTCGACGATGGTCAGCACCAACACCGCCAGCGACTCGGCCATGATGCCCGCGCAAGCAGCTGCAAACGGCGTCGGCAATGCCCAAGCGTCCACCGACAAGGCTGCCACCAATGCGGATCAGACAGCCGACAACAGCCCGCAGTTGGCAGCGGTCCGAAAGATTCGGTAAGTGCTTCCACTGTATTGGCGGTTCTCGGTCGGCGACGATGTGGCTGGCGACGCGAACACCCAGGCAGGCCAGAAGATGACGTCCCGAACAGATCAGCAGATCTGGGCGATGATCGGTCGGCGCTGGCATCATCGGCGATGGGTTGGCAGCAGATGGCGTGTTTTCGAATTTTGGCCCCTCGCGCCCAACCTCGCTTGGCTCTCGGCGCGGAGCGACGGCTGTCACGCTGGCGGGGCGGAGCGTGGGCGGTTGTCAGCAGTCAGCGATGGCTTGCTGGCGCTGGCTGCGAGTCCGGCGCTGTCAACTCGCTGCGTCTAGGCGCCGTTGCATCGCTGCGCCGTTGCTCTGTGGCGCCGTAGCTCCGTTGTTGCGTTGCTTGTCGGCACGGCTGCATGCCTGGCTCTACCTCCCGCTCGCAGAAGATCGTTACCAAGTCCGAATGTTAATGACAGCCAGGCCGAGAGCGCGATCGCTCGCAGTGTCTCAGTTGCAGCCCCGACGACTATTTGTCAGTTTCAGACGCGGCGGGAATTCTCGACGCCGAGGGGCAGATGCCTCGTGGCAAGGGCGACATTGGCGGTCCCTTTGTTCGGCGGAGCGGAGCGGATGCTCGCGATTCCAAGTTGTCCGGCGCTGCACGCTCGTTCGAGGGTGGCTGCCAAAAGAGCGAAGAGCGGCCCTCCCGTTGGCACAACCCTCGGAAATGTACGCACGCTGCGCCGAGAAACCCTCTTTTTCGTGCAGCTGGTTACGCCGACTCTGCATGCAGAGCTGCGACCAGCTGAACAGGGTGCGCCCCCCTTTGATCCCCAACTCAACACGCGCCTCCCTTTCCTCCACGGCTCACTGCATGCAAGGAAGTGGACAACAAAGGCGCCGGTCTTTGCTTCCTGGTAGGGAGCGAGACATACTGCCTGTTGCACGCTGCCGTATGTCGACGGTATCTCCTTGCAGCCCAGAGTCAGGTGTCGAGAAGAAGGAAAATCCGAACATATGCAACGTGGCTGCAGATTTTTCTTGCCACGCTGCTCGGCACAGTTGGCAGAGCTGCTGCCTGGCACCCTTTTTTTCTCGTGCAATTTTCTGTTTGCACGAGCTGCAAGGCTGCAGCAGGGTGGGCGTTAGCGCCATCATGCGGCCGCTACGCCAGTTGCTGTCGGAAGTTGCTACCAGCGGACATAGGCTTCATCGGTGCTCTTGCTCGGGAACCCGCAGTTGCGCCAACCACGCCGCTTCGCGCTCCGCCTTGGCTGTGCTCCATCCACATGCTTTTCATGCGTCACACTTTTGCCGCGCCTTGGAGGCCAGCACGCTTTCCAAAGCCGCTCAGGCCCCTGGGGCTGCACGCTCGTCCCCCTTCTCCTCCTTTGTCTTGCGCCCTGCTGGCACGCTGCACTGCCCATTGGCTGCCAGTCGTCGCTCGGTGTCACTTTGCGCCGAACAGTCGGTGCCGTGGCGCACCCTGCCGAGATGGACCCTGGAGCCTGTCAAGCGCCTCCATCGAAATGCAGTCCCGCTGAGCCCCAGTTCGGGCGTTGCACGCTCATCTAGGGGACGGCGCCGCCTTCCTTTATATCAGCGACTCATGTCTGCTTTGGCCCCTTTGTTCCCGTCCGTCTTTGTTCGTCCTGCATCCTCCTTCTTTCTCGCCTTCTTTGCTTCATCAGGCCTCTGCGTCGCCTGCCCCTGGATTAGAGTTGATCTCGATCCTTTGTCCCGGCATCGTCGTTCCGCCTCGCAGCCGTCGCCTCGAGCTTGATCCTATATAGAGTTCAGCCGCATCCTCGTCGCCACAGCTTTTGCCAGGACCCATCTGCGCAAAGCAACGGATCTTCTGACAACTTCCATCCGTCTTTTTCATCCCCACCCTGCTTTTGCTTGCAACCATGGCGACCTTCGATCACGCCCACGTCTACCTCGACAACGTCTGCTCCACCTCGGCCGCCGCTCTCCACTACAACATGTCCAACATGTCGATCGCCAACGTCGCGCCTTCATCCGTTGCGTCGGACCGCACCGTCCAACGCCATGTTGGCGCTCTTTGCGATGACGTGCCTACGGACTACGACTCTGCGGCTTCAACGTCTGCATCTTGCTCCATGTCCACCGCCTCTTCTCGCAATGTCGCCCCTTCGCAACCTTCGCATCACCACGATCGGAATCCTGGCGCTTCCGTTCGGCCTGCTGCTTCGGGCTCTGCTCCGTCTCATCGCCCACCGTCGAAATCACATTCGACGTCCTCGGTCGATTCGTTGGCTTCCATCATCTCCAACGGTCCTTCAACGCCGACTTGCGACGTCGACAATGTGTGCTTTGACATGGAACCGATTGCCAAATCCAATCGGGGCGCTGCCGATTCATACAATGCGCAAAAACAACTGCCGCATCGTCCTTCGCAACCGCCGCAACCATCCGTTCCTCAACCGACGGCTCCTTCGCACGCAAACGCGAATGCTGCTGTCGCCCCCGCCCCCGCCGGCGCTCCGCAACCCGCCTCGCGAAACGACAAATACAAAAACGCCATCAGCTTCCGCGTCGGCAGCAAGTACAAGGTCTGCGAGATCATCGGCGAAGGCGCCTACGGTGTCGTCTGCAGCGCCATCCACCGCGCCACGGGTCAGAAGGTGGCCATCAAGAAGATCCAGCCATTCGAGCACCAAATGTTTGCGCTGCGAACGCTGCGTGAGCTCAAGCTGCTGCGCTTCTTTCAGGAGTGCGATGTCTCGGAGAACATCATCAGCATCCTCGACATCATCAAGCCCAGCACCTACGAGGCCTTCACCGAGGTGTACCTCGTCCAGGAGCTCATGGAGACTGACCTTCATCGCGTTATCCGTACCCAAGAGCTCTCGGACGACCACTGCCAGTACTTCACCTACCAGACTCTGCGTGCGCTCAAGCCCATGCACTGCGCCGACGTCATTCATCGCGACCTCAAGCCGAGCAACATCCTGCTCAATGCCAACTGCGACCTCAAAGTGTGCGACTTCGGATTGGCTCGCTCCGTGCTCACTG